CAAACATACAAAATCCACCCCCGCAAATAGCTACACAACATGATCTGCTAGCCAGTGACGGAGCCAGAGCCACGTGTAATGGAAGTAATTCAATTGCCCTTCATCAAAAATTTGTATTGTACAACCAATGTATATATATATATATATATATATATATATATATATATATATATATATATATATATATATATATATATATATATATATATATATATATATATATATATATATATATATATATATATATATATATATATATATATATATATATATATATATATATATATATATATATATATATATATATATATATATATATATATATATATATATATATATATATATATATATATATATATATATATATATATATATATATATATATATATATATATATATATATATATATATATATATATATATATATATATATATATATATATATATATATATATATATATATATATATATATATATATATATATATATATATATATATATATATATATATATATATATATATATATATATATATATATATATATATATATATATATATATATATATATATATATATATATATATATATATATATATATATATATATATATATATATATATATATATATATATATATATATATATATATATATATATATATATATATATATATATATATATATATATATATATATATATATATATATATATATATATATATATATATATATATATATATATATATATATATATATATATATATATATATATATATATATATATATATATATATATATATATATATATATATATATATATATATATATATATATATATATATATATATATATATATATATATATATATATATATATATATATATATATATATATATATATATATATATATATATATATATATATATATATATATATATATTATACACACACATAGTTGAGATAATATATATTTGAAGAAAAAAACTTTTAAAAATTTAATTAATTTTTTAATAAAGAGAATTCGAATAAACCCAATACTCTGACTCCATCTCCGCTAGTAGCTAGCTAACTTTGGTGTTTAATTCTTTGCATGGTACTATAGTTTAATACACATAATTGTGTTGTACAACAATTATTCAATAAAAACTTTATGGTGACAGCATTTTTGCAACTCACTTGCATATATCCTGCAAAGTTAGCCAGAGAAAAGAAATGACTTTTCTATAATTAATAATATAACATTCTGACATGCTTTTAAATATAATAAAATTATTAAATATTAGCCCGTTGCAATAAAGAGAGTAACCACCAAATTAATTTCTAGGGTCTGTTCATCAGGAAGGAAAATGAAACGCCGTAGTTTTCTTACTTATTTTCTTAGCGTTTGATACGTAAGCAAGAAATATTATTTTTAAAATATTTGTGTATAATCTAAACAAATATTCTGAGAATTGATCGGGCGGCAATTAGGGGTGTAGGTGGTAGGGATGGGGCTATGGGGGTAAATGTGAAGAGACAATCAACATAAAATGTGACTTATGGAACTTGTTTTCTCTATTTTCATCAGAAAAGTTATTTTCCTTAACTTGTTTTCCTAAAGAATTCATTTTCCAAAAATTTCGACCAACCAATATAAAAAAATTGAAAAAATATTTTTTTTCTCATACCAAACAACCCTTATTAATCCTCTTCAATTCCCTTTATATGAGGGGGAAACAATAGTATCATAGATATCATAAAATTTGACTTTTTATATACAATGTGATTATCCGATAATTTCTTTTTAGATTAATGTAACTCCGACCCCTCTAGCTCCACCCCTATAATTATGCAATATAATTAGAAAAGCAAAATGAACTAAAAAAAAGTATGTTACATAGTTAATATTTTTTCTCAATTCAACTCAATACAATACAAACTTTAATTTGGGCATAGTAAATCTTTATGATATGCATTAATTTAGTTGATAACCTAGTAAAAATGATAATTGATCTACTATACATTATAAGTTAAAATTTGCTCATAGTATAAATAAATCTTTACACTACCAACTAGTAATAATTTCACCCCAAAAATTAATTGTTGTTACTATACCTTCCTCAAACATTTATGAAAGTTTGAGTGTTTTAACAAAAAAAAAAACCTATTTGTATATAAATAATAATGTAATCAAAGTAGTACTCTCATATCTTTTTAAATTTCACAGAGCAACCATCCCTTATTGTCTGGCCTATTTAAATAGCCATAGTGTACCCTAGCTAGCTACCCCACTATTTACCTATATATACATACATTATGGGCTACACATTTCAAACCTAAGTTGCTCAGACTCTTTCAAAATATATTACTTTTGAAGGATTTGAAACGTATTTCGTAACATTTTTAAAGAGTCTGAATAACATAAATGCAAATATATATACATGTATAGTAATTTAAACTACTTCTCCTATAATTTGTTATGAATTGCTTAACTATCACTGGTATGTTGATAGCAACCCCTTTTACCCCCACCCTACATACACACACACTCAAAAAAAAAACATGTATACGATTTCTTTTTACTATAAGATTGAAACAATGCTTAATTAGTTAAGATGATTAATTAGTAGATATTAGAATCTAAATTATCATTAAGCACTATGGAATAATCAGTTTACACCTAGTAATATATATATATATATATATACTAGTTGAATAACTCTGGATTTCTTCCTTTTTTTTTATCTCTTTAGTGAAAATTTTAACTTGATTATTCTCATGAATTGGTCAATTATAAACAAATGACAAATTTTAAGTACATTAGGTTAATACTCACATTTTTATAGAATATTATCACCAAACAGAAAGAAAAAAAGAAGCAGCAGCAGCAACAACACCATTAATTATGACTTTTTTTTTTAGATAAATTTATTTATATCTTTAATCAGTAGTATTATCAAAATCTAAGAGTCTTACTGCCTAACATATATTCTGAATTTTGATGACAAAGGGAGTCCACAATCGATATTTTTTGAGCGCACACATGATAAATCTGTTTTAATATAATGGCTCACAAATCACACTAGAGACGTAAATTATATCATGCAAATTTCGTGCGATAAATTTAATTGAGAAAATATGCAAGAGATTTCAAATCTCACAATTTAGAAAGGTGTCCTGCTCAATCAATTCGACCACCTTACGTATGTTTATTATATATACTAGTTTTTTGACACGTGCGTTGCACGTGATTACGAATTTCAAAAATATATGTTATAGTAAATAGTAGTGCTTATTTAAGCGAAGATTTGAATAATAAGCTTAGCAAAAAATAATATTGCAGATTCTTTTATGAATGTTCAATGTGGATCGTCATATATATATCTTATTCATGCAAAGCTATGAAGATGGTCAATGAAAATTTTTATTAGTTAAATGTAATTATGTATATATTTATTTTAATTTGATGAAGTTTATCTAATTAGTCTTATCTCACTAATATTACCTTATAGACAATATTTGTTTTGTATTTTTCTTGTCATCTAACCAGATGTGCTTTGCATGTGTATTCTACGTTAAATTGTGTAGATGTCATATGAACATGTGAAGAGAACAACTACATTTTATATATTCACATATTTTCAAATTTGTTGTGAGTTTTTTTTTGTTTAAAAAAAGAACTCGAAACATTTTAAAATAATATATTTTGAAGTTAGAAGATTTCGTTAACTTGATAATACATTTGTGACATATATAAATAAATAATAAAAATTAAACTAATACAAACTTCACTCTTTGGAAAAAATCACAACTCATCGAAAAATCACAACCCTTTGAAAAAAGTCATAACTTATCGGAAAAGTCACAACTCATCGAAAAAGTCACAACCTAAGTTAGAGATATTATAGTAATTTAACATTCAAGTCAGGAGTTCATGCTTTTAAAGTAATATATATATCCTTTTTCATAAATGTCAATTTATATAACTTAAAATCTTTGTGTTAAAACTGAATTGAGAATTGAGAATTTTTGTCTTTTTAGGTGTTTTTTATATCTTTAAATGGTAAGTGAGAAGGACAAGGGGTGTGGTTAAAAGGATTATTAATTTTTTTGTCTCATATATAGTAACAAAATTTTAACCTTTTATTACCCAAAAATAAATAAAATTTAATTTTTTTCCCCACTGAAATGTATGAGAGAGAGCAAAAACAAAAGGGCAAACAAGATGAATTTATATCAATAATTGATGAAAGCCAGGGAATCTTCTCTGCCATTTTTTTCACTATGTTTTCATCACTTTGATTTTTAAAAAAGTCAAGCAAATCAGGAAAAATATATATTTTTAAAATGGAAAAAAATTATAAATGAAAGAAAATGTAATTTCCATTAAATAAGTGTACAAAATGAGAAAAATCCAAAAGTTTCTCCTTTCCCTTTTCAAGAAACAATAAACCAAAAAAAGGGGAAAAATTAAAGCCTTCCATGGTTTAAAAAATGTGGATATGATTTTTAGTGGCAAAGACAGAATTTTTCACCAAACAATTTGAATTTATTCTTTATATATATAATGTAATTTTTCCAGGATATTTATCACAGCTAATTTTGGGAAATTAATTTCAAAACTCCTAATTTAAGTGATAGAAGTAGAATTTTCACCGATAGAGCTCATCATTTACTCTCCATGTATAATTTTAAACTGACACATATTATTTAATGTAATTTTCAGACGAAAGGGCATCTGCTCCGGCTGATTTTTCAAAACTAATTTCAGAAGTCTTAAAAACCATAATTCTATATAAAGGTGTATAATAGGTAATTAATTCAGAGAATTCACACTATTAAGTATGCCAAGTAATTGAATTATCTAACTCATGACCAATTTAAAAGTGAATTTAATTAAATAAATAAAAACTATATATTTAAAAAAAAATCAAGAATTTACCATGAAAATTTGGCTTGATAATCTTCAAGTGTACTCCATAGGAAGGAAAATGTAAAAAATAAGTCCAAAGCTTGCCATCTTTTCCCACAGCTTTCTTGGACTTTCATAGCTTCAAAAATTTCATCTCAAAATTATCAATTTAGAGATCAAAATTTAGCAAGAAGAAGTTCAAGAAAGCTGTGGAAAAGCATGACTAGGACTTAGTCATCGTCATCGATCAACAACCAGCGTAAAACTTGTCAATTCTTAAAGTTTTAATATAAGGAAAAATTGAACAAGTTTTTTTAAAAAAAGATAAGAATTTGAGAAAAATAGTTGATTTGTGAGAAGAGAGAAGAGTTAAAGACATAGGCCATATAGATATAGAGAATGAAACAAATTAATGTGTTGGATGGACCACACTAGCAATATATAAATTTTATTGTGTGAAATTTTAACCAGCTTTATAGAAGGGACTAAGGGAAGTAGGGTTCATTTTCCCCACATATAATGCCTACTTTCTTTATTTTGTTAGTGCTATGTGGGGTAGCTAACATACCCCCAATCTTAGATGGCTCATAAGTTATATGCATGCATCAATATTCTTTTTAATCTTTAACGCAAAAATTTTAAGTTTGAACCTCTGAGAATGAAAAAAGATATTGTTGAAATAATTACTTTTAGAAATATTATATATAATCGAATTTAATCGAGCCTTAATAGATATTGAATACTAGAGGACAAAGAAAAATAATATTTTAAAAACTTATATACATTAAAGGTGTGTTTGATATGGAGAGAAATGTCTTTACATAAAATATCCCTATGTAAAATATTTTTGTGGAAAATGAGTGAAGTTTCTTATCTATTTTCTTGTGGTTAGTAAATAAAATAAAAGATATTATCCTACGATCATATTATATAATTAGACAAATATTAGAGAGACAAAGGGTGGTGGGAATGGTATAAGGGTCATTAAGGGTTGTGTTTGATATGAAGAAAAACGTCGTTACATAAAATATCTTTATGTAAAATATTTTCCTGAAAAATAAGTGAAGTTTCTTCTCTATTTTATGGTGGTTAGTAAATAAAACAAAAGATATTATCTATAATCATATTATATAATCTAGACAAACATTAGAGAGACAAGGGTGGTGGGAATGGTATAGGGGTGCGAGTGGAAGCGAAGGTGAGGTGTGTTGGAGCTGAGGGTAGAGATGAGACAATTAATACGTAATGTCATTTATAAACTTGTTTTCGCCAATTCCACTAAGGAAAATATTTTCTCTATAATTAAGAATTTATTTTTCTAGATTTTTTTAATTATTTTTTTTGACCAATCAAATATAAAAGAAATTAAAATCAACTTTTGAAAAATATTTCCCTCCATACTAAACACACCCTAACTAATACAAGTGGTGGAGCCAGAAAATTTGTTAAGGGTGTTCAAATTCAAAGAGTAATTTTTTTTTTAGCTAATGGGTGTTCAAAATATGTATTTTTTATTACTAATGAGTGGATGCACCTAGATTTGAAATTAAATTCCATATCATTTAACTAAATCATATGAACATTATAATTATAAAACTATTATTAATGGTATAAATCAGAACTAACCGGGAAAAGTCAACAAAAAATAGTTTTAACTACTATTCTCTCATTCGTCTTTACTTGTTTGTTTGACTTGACACTCTTAAGAAACAATAAATAGAAGGATAATTTTACTATATTATTCAGTTTAATTATTAGTTATTTAAATATGGAGAAGTGAATAGTATTTAATAATAAGAATAAAATAAACACAATATAATAAATTATCTCTTAATTTTTTAAATTAAACAAATAAAATTGAATAACTATCTTTATTCACTAGACAAGTAAAGATAGACAAAAAAGCAATTTAATTATATAAGAAATATTAAATTTTCTGTATGAATAATTTTTTTAAAGCAATAAAAAATTTGGAATGTGTATCATTTTTAATATTGATTTTGTTGTAAAAAAAGTATTTAATGATGTTGAACAAAGAAGTAGTTATAAACTTATAACATGCGATTTCTATTTATTTCCCATCTTGAACACACTTACCACTGGACCATCAACTTCCACTATGCTTTAGTGTGTGCATTTATTTATATAACGAGTCGAAATAACACAGAATATATTACCTATACATACGATCTAATTTTCCGACAAAGGGTGGTCAGTTGGCCACCCTTCACGGGTTGTAGCTCCACCCCTGAACTAATAGGCTAATAGTGTGCAATATCTTTATACAATTAAGTTAAATTGCCTTACAATACTATGTATGTAACTTGCTACAACAAAATAGAAATATATGCACACACACAGTGCAAAGTTTATTTTGTATAATCAATATAGTTCAACTCTAGATAACAGGTTCCTCCCATTTTTTACCAGATTATTCAATAGTGTTTTCAAAATATGAAATTGTTTTATAAGTGATCTGATTATATAATTATTATTAATGTATTTTGAAAAAATGAGAAGGAAAATGATAAGGGCATCCCATACCCATCAGGCCATCACATGTCACCATGTGTCCATGATGATATATATATATATATATAATTGTTGGGAACAAAGGGTATGGGGTTTTTTATGGTCCCCCAAAATTATAAGTTTTATTTTCTGCAGAATCATACATATACACTTACTAATATATATGATCTTTGATTTAAATACATTCTTGAATGTAGATTTTTGTTTGTTTAAAGAAAATTTGGGTCATTCTGAAAAACTTAAGAAAAAAAGAAGTGGACCCTATATATATGGCCTCCATTGCATGTGCATGCTCTTATTTATTTATTTTTTTCCTAAAATGTAGAGGATTTCAGATGTGGAAATAATGAGTTGGAATCCTGCATGGTGATTTTTCAATTTATCTTATTTTAAATTGGTTAGCGTGACAATCAAAAGATGTGGTGCAGTGAATAACGTTGTCCTTTCCTTCGTTAGAAATTTCAAGTTCGAGCTTTAGATATAGAAAAAAATCATTAGTAGAGACTAGAGAGTGTTTTTCATTGAATGAGGCCCTCCACGGCTACAACGTAAAAATCCTTGATAGAGAGAGTTTTCCTTTGAGTGGAATCCACGTGATGTGTATCTGAATTAACCAGACTTCCATATAAGTATCAAACACCAGATGAAAATTAAATTTTAAAAATTGGTTATTGTGGGCTTTTAATTATTCATTTACAATTATTTAGAAATACGAATTGTATGGTATAAAAGTGTATAACAATGATAAAAGTGAAATAACATAAAATTATACCATAATTGAGACGAGATCAAATTCCAGCATAGATAAAAATCCTAAGTAATTTTTCTTTTCATACGTCTCATTTTCAGTGGACAAAGTTTATCTAAAGTACATAATTATCATATATATTATTATTATTCGTACTTTTAAAATATTACGTATCTTACCACTAATTAAGAGTTTCCTATCATTATTGAAGAAAATACACTTAGATACATGCATTTTTACTAGACAAAAATAGGGAGAGAGGCGAGCGATATTGGGGAGGGAGGCAAGCGAGATTCGCATGTATCCAGATACATGAGAGAGTGGCGAGCGAGATGGAGAGAAGCGAGTGAGGCAAGCGAGATTTATTATGTATCACAGATACATACAAATTCACTTGGATACAACGTATCTAGAACAAATTACACCTAATATTGACCTCATGTATCCGAGATACATGCATCTGAACGTATCTGGAGACACCAAAATCTGGTAAGATACGTAGTATCGCAAAATAGAGTGTATCTAAGTAATTAACTTCTAAACTAATGAAATTTATGTAAGCTCCCTTATTTATATTACTGGAAGATAACGGTGTAGCATGTATCACATAAAATTGATCTGACACCACAATTATCACAATAAAAAAACAGATAACATAGAAATATACGATAAGCGAAAAAGAGATCAAATTTTAGCAAAGACAAACTGCTAAGCAATTTCTTTCTATCTATTAAGGTCTCGATGAACAAAGTTATCTGATATTTATACTAATAGAGAACAATAATGTTGCATGTATTTCGTAAAATTAATTGATATACGTCTGAATTATTTTCAACACCACGATTATCACAATAACAAAAGTGAGATAACATACAAATATATAATAACTTAGAAGAGATCAAATCTCAGTTGAGATAAAAATATTGCTAGGTAATTTTTATTTTTTTTATCTATTCAAATTTTGATAAATAAAATTACACAATATTTATATTAGTATTAGTAGGAGGCAACCATATAACATGTATCATATAAAATTAGTAAAAAGTATGTAAGTCAGGGACAAAGTTAACATACTTATTACGAGTTCGATTGAATTCAAATAGATTGAGAAAATAAAAAATACATACCTTAAAAGTAGGGAAAATTATTATTTTTTTAAAAATGTAACTCCATATTTGTTAGTGTTGAGGGTGGGGTCTAGCCAAGCATGTTACTTGACCATTGTGTGTGGGATGTGGGTTCCATCTTCTCAATGGCCAAACATAATTTTTCTTCAATTATTAAAAAGGCAAAACAATTTAGTTTTATATATACGTAATTTTAAATATATTTATTTTCCGTGCATATATTGTCATGATTGAATCCTCCTCTAGCAACAACCTAAGAAATATAATCAATTTTTTATGAAAATTGGTTTCAAAATAGTTATGTCGTTAGAGTAAAATGTTATAATAAAGAATAAGTATTATAGAAGATTTCTATCCCCAATAATTAATTTTTACTAGTCACGTCTTATAAGCATTTTGAATCAATAACAATATATCTGATTAGAAGAGGCTCATATACAAAATAATGCGAGTTAATATCTAAAACTACATATTCAATTAGTCGAAGTTCAAAAATTTAAAATTGAAATTTCACCTCTATCATCGATAAATTTGGTCAAGAGATTACAAAACACGTCCCAAATAAGCTTCACTCATGAGTATTTGAGCAATTATTTTTGTTATTTTTACAAATCTTTTTTATTGTATCAACAAATGATCACTCATAAATTCAATTCCAACATTATTTGATTTTAAACTCAGAGCAATGCTTCACTTGCCTTCTTTAAATTTTAGATATCATCTATATAACAATCATTATTTATAATAATATTTTAATATTTATATTATGTTACATATTTGTTATAATGACATTTCGCTCTAGTAACAA